AGTAGATGGAATGAAGGAAGTGGTGAAAAGGGGTGTGGAGATTTAGCAGGAATGGAGATCAGGGAAAGGTAGAGTGAGGAAGGAGGATGAAGGGAGAGGATGGACCTGTGTGTGGAATGGAAATAGGTGTGGGCAGCAGACCCCTTTGCGACAGGGGAAGCTACCAGATGGCTGTAGGCGTGACGCTAACAGAGATATATAGTAGTGCAGTGTATGGAATCTTCACTGACAACTTCCTGAAGCCAGGTGGAACTACCTGTGGAGGGAGGGGGACACCAACTCACTCACAAAACCTTCTGTTTGAAATGTGTCTCCTGTATAAGAAGTGTAGGGCTTAAACAGGAGTGGAGATTGAGGGAATGGCAAGCCAGTGTGCAGACCAACTTGAGACCCATCCCATGAGAGAGCCACCCCCTGACACTGTAAATGAAACTCTGATGTGCTTGCAGATAGGAGCCTGTCTTCAGAAAGGCTTCATCCAGCAGCAAATGGAAACAGGTACAGAGACCTACAGTCAATTAATAGGCTATTTACAGGAGTTTTGTGGAAGAAGGGAGCAGGTTTGAGGGAGCCAGAAGGGACAAGGACAACAGAAGAAGGCATAGTGAATCAACTAACCTAGGTATTTGGGGACTCACAGAGACTGAACCACCAAACAAATAGCATGCAAGGCAGGACCCAGACCCCCTACACACATGGAGCAGATGTGCAGCTTTGTCATCTTAGGGATTCCCTAACAATGAGAGTAGAGGTTCTTTGTTGCCTGACCTTGGATCAATTTCTTCCAACTGGACTGCCTGGTCTAGTCTCAATATGAGATGTGGCCAGTCTTACTTAATCTTCCAAGGGGATTGCTATCCATCAGACGTCTATCCTTCTCTGGAATAATGTGGGTGGGGAAGAAAGGAAGGAGGTGGCATCAGGACAGGCTTAAAGAGGATGTAGGGTAAGTTCACATCGTGATGTAAAGCCAATTAATTAATTAAGTAAATAAGTGATGAAGAAAAAAGGAGTTGATGCAGTAAACAGTGAGTGCTAAGAAAAAGGAGAAAGGGTTTTAGTAGGACAGGGGTACTGAGGAGTCTGTACAATCCTCCAGAGCTGAGCAGAGCTAGATGCACTAAACTTGACTTTCCTGAACATATAAATCAGATAAACCCACAAATGATTTTGATATTTTTATTCATTTTATATGTTATTTGTAAGGTTTGGAATACAGAGATGCATGTGCCCGTGGAGGCAAGAAAGTGCCTCAGAGCATGTGTATGTCCAGTTACAGACGGCTGAAACCACTTCTGTGTGTGCTGAGAAGCATCCAGTTGTCCTCTGCAAGAGAAACAGGTGCTCTTACCAACTGAGTTATCAATCCTGTCCGTACAAACTGAGATTATAAAAAAGTCTTCTTTGTCCCTTCTCATATCATTACAGGTTCATGTTGGTTTTTCCCTTTGTTCTGATCCATTGGTCATGGGTTCTGATCAATGTAATCCAGAAATGTTTCAGCCTAAAAAATGCACTGTTGAGATGTGTTTGTTGCAATCAACTAAGTTCAATCTCAGGGTCCAACTCATGGGACTACCATCAAACCAGTAGCAAAACAAAGTAGATATGAGGTAGAATAAACCCGAGTCCAGGGCTGTCCACCCAGCCAGCATTCCCCCTTCTTCCAGCTGTTTCAAATCCTGAGCCACAACGGTGTGCTTCACCAGACTGATGGTGAATGCAACAGCAATACATAGTCTACCTGGGAGTTGCTGGTAAAAACAGTGGCTGCTGCTTCAGGAAGAGAGGTGTAGGTCACAAGGAAGCAGTTGCTAACATCTATCTCTTCAGGGGTTTGAGAGTGGTTTCATGAAAGGCTTCTGTGCAGAAGCCAGGGCATGGAATGCTTCAGCCAGCAAGTGGGGATGGAAATCCACCAAGACGTTCCACCCCGAGGTCTCAGAGACCTCAGAAGCATGAACTGTAATGAAATCAAGTGCCTGCATTTTCAGCTGCTCTGCACTGTGGAAGTCAGCCAAGATGAGCATGTGAGCAGCAATCTCCACTGAGAGGTCCCTGCAGAGGGCATCCTTACACATGACCTTCAAGTGCTCCATTCCACACCTGTCAGCAGATGCCAGAACATCAGTGGCCATGGTGTTGAGTTTTGGTGCCTTCCCTGTGTAAATGAAGCCCATCATCTCCTTGAAGACTTGAGGCTCCAGTTCCTTGATCTCAACTCTGTTCTTTCGCCTCTCCTCTATGTCATGATGAAACATGGCCCTGAAAACTGGAGAGCGAGCTGCTGAGATGGCCTTGTGAGCCCAGAATTCCTGATATGAAGAGGCAGCAGTCTGTGAAGAGGGAATTTTCCCACAGCTCTCCTACCTCATCTGTCAAAGAGCACCTTAGAATGTTGATTACAAATGTCTGTCGACACAGGCTGAGGACATCTTGGCCCATACTCACCTTGCAAAAGAGTGTGAGCCTGCCATCAGGTAGTAGCCATTGGGCCTGGGACATGAGGACCTCTCAAGGGATGAACTATTTGAATTCCAATGTTGGTCTGGCAGGAAACTCTTGACAATTTGGCTCTCCACATTATTTATTTCTCTTCATTGTCATCTAAGATCCAAAACTGGAACTTTGCCCAAATGGGGCTCTTTGGACAGCTGAGCAATGCCCAGTAAACTGAAAGGTAATCTCTGCTTTCTTCATCAAACCCATTCTGGTATAATTTCAAACACCATTTTGTTTGGCCATTGTCTTCTGATGAGAAAATTGGACTGCTAATGGCTTCGCTCAATCCCTCCAGAGAAAAATGGAAGTTACTAATGGTCCTCTTGTAGGAAAATGTTTTGATGGTGATCTTTGTGGAGCCCCAGCTCTCAGCTGCCAGGTCCTCTGACATTTCTGCTGTAGGTAGTTTAGAAATTAAAATGGATCAAAAGAAAAAAGAGAGCTAGCATTATTTTCTCCTCACCCTGCAGGACACAATTATAGATAATTATTAAAATTTACTTTCAAATATGTTCTCTATTCTATAATTTTGGAAATATGTATCTTTCTGAAAATATTCATCTAGATTTGAATATTAGTCAGAGAAGTTAGCACCGGTCACTAGCCGCTGCTAAAATGTGTGTGTGTTGACTTTTAAGTCAATGGTATCTAGTTCGTGTTATTTTTTTTTACATATTTGGATATGTGTTAGCATATCCAAATTCTGAAGAGTGGAAAATTTTAGAGACTCTCGTTTACATGTGCTGTATTAGTCAGGGTCCTCTAGAGTAGCAATGAACAAAAGGAACTTTTTTCTTTATATGCAGAAACTGGAATTTTGACAATGACTTACAGGCTGCAGTTCAGCTAATCCAATCATAGTTGAAGCCAGTACTCACTTAATCCACAAGGCTAGAAGTCTCAGGTGGTCTTCAGTGTATGCTGTACTCCTGAAGAAGTAGGCTCTAATGCCGGTGAAGTGATCCACTTGCTATCAAGTTGAGGTTGAGCAGGCAAACAACCAAGGTTTCCCTCTTCCATGTGCTTATATAGGCTTATGGCAGAAGGTGTGGCCTAATTAGAGGTGTGTCTTCCGGCCAGAAAACCTGGATTAAAGGTGTGTGTTTTTCCTACCTCAAAAGTCTGTAGTTGAACTGGGTCTGCCTCCTTCATCTTAAGCAAAAAATTTCTAATAGGTGTGCTCTCCCAGTTTGAACTTTATTAAGTTCCAGAATTTGTCCTATTGGGAGGGGGGAAATGGACATCAAAAGTGTGTTGGGCTTACCATGGTCAATGTTCCTTAAAAAAGAATGAAGTCAGTATCTGTCCAGCAACTGTTTACCTTTGTGACTGTGTTACACTCATCGCTGCCAGAGACAGGGAAGGGTGTTGTCTCTGTCTTGTAAGGGGTCTGAGTGTTCCCAGCATGGAGGACAGGAGGAAGACCTTATATATGCTGTGCAGGAAGCAGAGCCAGGAAGCTGTGAATGTGGGGTTTTCTGTGTGTTCCCAGCATGGAGGACAGGAGGAAGACCTTATATATGCTGTGCAGGAAGCAGAGCCAGGAAGCTGTGAATGTGGGGTTTTCTGCCTTTCATTCCAAACAGACCAGCAGTCTGTGTGATGGCTCCTCCCAGTTTTGTTGCTGATCTTATACTTTTCTCTCAGATAATCATCCTTGGAAATATTTGCCCAGCTCTTCTTGAGGGTGTGGTTTATGAATATCCTAAAGTTTTCTCGATTCAATCATAGAATTCAGATATTCAATACCTCATGTTCTGCATCCTCCACTGGTGAATTCTGTCCTTTCAACCTTAGAACTACCATGCTTGCTCTGCTAGGCTTTAGTAGTGAGAGATTATGCAGGTTTCCAAAGATTATTTAGGTTTCCAAAGGTGCAGCATATAGTCAACAGTACCCAGGATTCGGCTTTGTGATGTTTCCCATCCTGTAAAGTGATATGTAAATGCTCCCTACATCTCTTTTCTCTTCTCAGTTCTTCACATCTTAGAGAGACTCACTAAGCCTAGAGAACACAGAAATAGTTTCTGTGATTCAATCAGCTCAGAAGTTCCCAGCCCAGATCTCCTGTGTGTCTGGCTCCAATGCTGCTCATCCCTCAGTACAGCTTAAATCAGTCAGTTGCCATCAATCCTTTGACTTTTGGCTGCTTAGTTAGACTTCTTGTGTGTCTTTACTAAATGTTTCCCAGGTGGCTTTAGGGTTAGCTTAACTGGCACCCGCTTTCTCAAATCTGTCATTTGAATATTTGCAAGTGATCAATGCAAGCCACCTCCTTTTGCAAGATATGTGCTTCTAATTTTGCATACTGAACACAGAAGAGCATGTTCTAGGAGAGTGGGAGTAGCCTGTTAGAGGAGAGCTGCAATCTTCTGGAGCAGGAAACTTGGGCTCAGACCATGAAGGTTCTCAGTCTTTGAGTGAGAAAGGGGAAGGTTCTCTTTCTGGGATAGTTCTCTTTGAGAAGTTACTGACAAAATGAATTCAGGTTGTAATACCACCATCATGGGAAACTCAGAGTCCACCATGCAATGACTCTCTGCAAGACAGCTTTATTAGGAGAGTGATCAAACTTTGGACCCACCTCTCACTGATGCAGCAGCAGAGAACTGGGACCCTGAGCCAGTCCAATCTTTGTTTCAGTAAATTTCCATCTTCTTGTGTCACAACAGCCAGCAAGGAGCAGCAAAGGGAATCAGGAACAGCACTGTTCTTTCTCTGATCTTCACACTCTCTGGGCTCTTGTATTTATTCTCTCTCCAGATTCCTCACATTGAAACTACCTACAGCTGGGAAAGAGTGCTTCTCAGAGCCTGAACCAAGAAGGAAGTCTGCTGCTGTGGACCATCTTAATCAATCCCACATCCCCCGCATGGGACCAAAACAAAAACATGTTTATATCCACAACACAGAGACACACAGACACACTAAAAAGACAACCATGCGTGGCCACCACACATTCATACACAAGAGCACACAGGGGCAACTCAGGGATATGTCCTTCCTTTAAGTAGCCCTGATCAGCATCAGTGTAGGGTCTCTCCTGTGTGTCTGCACAGAGACACCATGATCAGACTCACCTTCAGAGATGACAGACTAGGGGACTTTCTCCTTTGTTTCTTTGGGAGTAGAGGTGTCAAGTTCTTGTGAACTTTTTAGGCAACAATTCATCCAGGCAGTCTTGGATACCTAGAACACAGGTTGAGCATCGCCCCCCCCCCAAATTCCATGACTACTTCCCTAATGGTAATTCAAGGGACTCTGAGAGCCTCAATACTTTAGGTTAGTCCCTGGACAGAAAGTGGAACCTCCATAAATTTATAACAAAAAATGTACGACAATTTCTGTATCCAGACCGTAACCTAGTATAACTGTCCTTTGAAAGGCTTCATCCAGCAGCAGATGTAAACAGGTGCAGAGACCTAGAGTCAAATAATAGGACAAACTCTGGAACTTCTGTGGACAAGTGGGAGGAAGGTTTGAGGGGACCAGAGAGTTAAAGGACAGCACAGGAAGGCATAAGGAATCAAATAACGTAGGCCAATGGGGGTACACAGAGAAACCCACAAATGACTTCATCATTTTTAATCATTTTCTATTTTATTTGTAAGGTTTGGTATACAGAGATATATGTGACCATGGAGGCAAGAAAGTGCCTCAGATCCTATGTATGTACACTTACAGATGGCTGAAACCTCTCCTGTGTGTGCTGGGAAGCATCCAGGTGTCCTCTGCATGAGCAACAGGTGCTCTTCCCAAATGAGTTATCACTCCAGTCCTCAAAAACTGAGCTTCAAAAAAAGTATTCTTTGCCTGTACCTTCTTATATCATTACAGGTTCACATGTGTTTTCCCCTTTGCTCTGATCCCCTGGTCATGTACAATCTGCTCAGTACAATCCAGACATGTTTCAGCCCAAAGCACACCTGCTGAGATGCGTTTGTTGCAATCAATTAAGTTTAATCTTAGTTTTAAACTCACAGGACACCTATCAAATCAGTACAGCAACAAGGTAGACATGAGGTAGAATAAACCAGAATCCAGGGCTGTCCAACCAAACAGCATTCCACCTTCTTCCAGCTGTTTGAAATCCTGAGCCACAATGCTGTCCTTCCCCAGATTCATTTTAAACTCAAAAGCAATACCATTGTCAACCTGAGAGTCACTGATAACAACAGTTGCTGCTGTTTCAGGAAGACAGGTGCAAGTCACAAGGAAGCAGGTGCTAGGATCTATCTCTTCAAGCGTTTGAGAGGGGGTTCCAGGAAAGGCCTCTGTGCAGAAGCCAGGGCATGAAATGCTTCATCCAGCAAGTGGGGATGGAAATTCACCATGACCTTCCACCCTGAAGTCTCAGAGATCTCAGAAGCATGAACTGTGATAAAATCCAGTGCCTGCATCTTCAGCTGCTCTGCACTGTGGAAGTCAGCCAGGATGAGAGTGTGAGCGGCATTCTCCACGGAGAGGTCCCTGTAGAGGGCATCCTCACACATGACCTTCAAGCGCTCCAGGCCATACCTGTCAGCAGCTGCCAGCACACCAGTGGCCATGGTGCGGAGGTTTGGTGCCTTCCCTGTGTAAATGAAGCCCATAATCTCCTTGAAGACTTGAGGCTCCAGGTCCTTGATCTCAACTCTGTTCTTTCGCCTCTCCTCCATGTCATGTTGAAACATGGCCCTGAAAACTGGAGAGCGAGCTGCTAAGATGGCCTTGTGAGCCCTGAATTCCTGACCAGATACGAAGAGGCAGCAGTCAGTGAAGAGGGAATTTTCCCACAGCTCTCCTACCTCATCTGTCAAATTGCAGCTTGGAACCTTGATTGGGGATGTCTGTCGAGACAGGCTGAAGACATCTTGTCCCATACTCACCTTGCAGAAGAGAGTGAGCCTGCCATCAGGTAGTAGCCATTGGGCCTGGGACAAGAGGAAACCTCTATGGATAAA